TGCCTTCACAACGAAGCACAGCGGCTTCACAAGAATTGTCTCAGCCCCACGCAGACACTAGGGGCAGCAGACCACCCCACGCTTCCTGCCCCGCACCTCCCCAGGCTCCCTCAGAGCCCTCCCACCCAAGTCCTCAAATCAGGAAACAGCACCCCGAAGACCGTCACTTGGGTTCTAACCAGCCGCCCTGAGAGCGGATTCCTCACACACCGACCTGCTTGTAGAGCCACAGCAGGGTGCAGACCACGGTGATGTCGGCCAGCGTCACCCGCTCGCCCACCAGAAAGGTCCTGGTCTTCAAGTGAGCGTCCAGCAGCCCTAGGATCCGCCTCACATCCTCCTTCGCGGTCTCTGTGGCCTGTGGATTCATTGACCAAACCTATCAGTGACTATCAATACCCCCCATCACTGAACTCCCAAATGTATCCCACCGAAGACCAGTTACATTCCTTCATGGTGCAGGAGGACTCCCCGCCCAGCGCCCATGTCTTTACGCGCTAGGAGGAACCTCAGAGGTCACCGGGTCGAACCACTCCCCTACCATTTGGTCCAACCTTCCTGCAGAACAAACCCCTTCTGACCACCTCCACGGGTCTCCCACCCCAACGCCCAGGGGTCCGAACTCACAGCGCAGATTGGGGCCTGGTTACACACTCTGGGCATGCCCCCACCCCCCGCCCCCCGACTCTGGCTTCTTCCAAGCCCCAGGCTCACCTGCTTGTTGTAGTGCATGATGCCCAAGGTGGGGAACACCCAGGTGCTGGCGGGGGGCACTATGTCGCTGTCAGCAAAGCTCACCCACTGCACCACCTGGGCTGCTGCTTCCGGGCTACTTCCCCGCAGGTCCTCATTGCTCACTGCAGAGGCAAGGCGCCAAGTCAGGACCTGGGGTCACGCCAACACCAGTCCCCGCAAAGCCCTCTCCTTCTCCACTCCGGCTCACCCTCATACTCTCCTACACCCCTCACCCCAGACCCGCCCCCCCCCCCAATCCAACTGTAGTTACCGTAGTAGGCAATGGCATTGCTCTCGAATACACAGAATCCATCATCACCTTCAAATGCTGGGACCTGCAGACAAGGCGTCAGAAGGTAAGCGAAACACTGGCTGGGTGCTCAGTGGTTAGAGCAGTGGTTCTCAACCTTTCTAATGCCACGACCCTTTAATACAATTCCTCATGTGGTGATCCCCAACCATAAAATATCTGTTTTCCGATGGTCTTAGGTGATCCTGCTAGCGGTTCTCAACACAAATATTTACATTACGATTCATTAACAGTAGCAAAATCACAGTTATGAAGTAGCAACAAAAGTAATTTTGTGGTTGGGGGTCAGTCACCACAACATGAGGAATGTATTAAAGGGTCGGAGCCCTCTGAACGAAGGGTCTCAGGTTCAATTCCCAGATGCAGGATCCCCAGCCCAGTGGGGGGCATATATTTGAAGCAACCAATCCACGTGTCTTGCTCACATCGATGTTTCTCTTTCCCCTTCCTCCCTCATCTCCATTCTCTCTGGAAATCAATGGAAAAAATATCCTCAGGCGAGGATTTAGGAGGAAAAAAATTAAGTGAAACAGTAATTTCTTACTAGCCAATCCCAGGAACTAAGTTGTTCTCCAGGACAGTGTTTATACAGGGCCCACAACCCCTCTAACCAAACTCCTGACACTATCTAAAACTTTTCAAAAGCCAAAAATATTTGAATATCTTGGCATCCCTTATAGCCTGAACTCACATAAGGAACCCAAAATACTTAGCCACCATCAGCTCTTTGAAGAAAATCCCTCAATCAATAAGCGAAAGGTGAGGCCACGTCTTCTATCCACGTCTGTAACAGTGCCACACACACACACACACACACACACACACACACACACACACACGGCCTCTGACACCCGTGGGGAAAAAATCCTGCCCATACCTGACACATTTTCGCTGAGAACAGCCAAAAGTCATTCTGTCTTCCAAAGTGAGCTATGAACTGTTCAATGTCACTGAATATCTCTTTATTACTTAATCATCTTTAAAATTTTCAATTACAATCGACTATTACTTTTCACTACACAGGAATCTGAAATTATCTCAAAACGAAAGGATTTTTTAAAAATATATTTTCCGCGGAAACCGGTTTGGCTCAGTGGTAGAGCATCGGTCTGCGGACTGAAAGGTCTCAGGTTCGATTCCGGTCAAGGGCATGTACATTGGTTGCGGGCACATCCCCGGTTGGGGGTGTGCAGGAGGCGGCTGGTCGATGTTTCTCTCTCATCGACGTTTTTAGCTCTCTAGCTCTCTCCCTTCCTCTCTGTAAAAAATCAATAAAATATATTTTAAAAGTATATATATATTTTCCACTGATTTCGGAGAGGGAGAGGAAGAAACCTGTTTAAGAGAATCAATGTACACCCACTACTGGGGATGGAGCCCACAACCAGGGCCTGCATGCTCTGACCGGGAATTTAACTGTGATCTCCTGGTTCACAGGTCCACCCTCCACCCCTGAGGTACACCAGCAGAGCTCAAAAATAAGCCTTTTTAAAAAATCACTAAAACATGGGGTGCGGGTGAAATATCTTTAAAAGATGGAGGCTATCTCCAAAGTGATACAATCTTACAGCCACTTGGGTTCTCAGGATCAAAGACCCTTTTCCAGGTCCCCACTCACCTTGCCCGCTGGAAACTTGCGGAGAAATTCCGGGGTGCGGTTGGTCTGGCCAAAGTGGAAGTGGGGTGGTGCGGAGAGGACGCGGACCTGGGCCCCGCTGTACTGCGCGGCGATAAGGGCCTTGAAGGCCCTCCAGTTTTCAGGGTATGTGTACAGGGTCTGCGCGGGGAAGAGGGGACGGGGTGTCAGCCCCAAACGCCACCGCCCGGGGTGACTTCCCCGTGGAGTCGCCGTCCGCCCCGCTCCCGCTTCCCTCGGGCTGGAAACCCAAGCTGGTAACCCGTCTTGTGTAATCGGAGTCCGACCAGGGACAGACACACCGGCTGCTAAATAAAGCTCGCTGACAGCTCTGACCTTCCCTCAGAACAGCCTCCGGAGCATGAAACCCACAGCTTCAGGCTCCCTGGGGCTCGGTCTGCGGGCGGACCCACTCCGCCGCCCCGCAGAGCCCGGGTTTCATTCATTGATGCCGCCGGGCCTGCCCACTCCACCGCGGGGCCGCCCGCCTCTCGGCCGAGGGCACACCCCCGGCCCAGTCCCACCCGAGCAGCCAGCAGAGGCCGGATGGGTCTTCCCCCCCGAACTCAGCCCGGCCTCCCTTCCCGAAGCCCCCCTTCCCCGGCCGGCACGCCGCCGCTCCGGTGCCGTCCCGCCCGCGGCGAGTTGCCTGGTGGTGCCCCCTCTCCTTCCCGGACCCTGGGCGGCGAGGTCCCCCCCTGGTCGGACCCACGTCGGAGCCTTCCCGCGCCCACACCTCCCCGCTGGACGAGCCCTGGCCGCGGCGGCCAAGCTCATGCCCACAAAGACCCTCCCTTCAGCCTGCCCCTGCGATCGCCCCACAGAACGGCCGCGAAAGTCCCGTCAACCTGCCCGGACCCCACGTCTCAGGGAGGCACTGAACCTGACCCCTCCCCCCGGCCCCAGACGGCCGGGACCCGGCATCTCCTTTCTCCTCTGACCCAGGCCATCCCAACTCTATGGCCTCCCACAGCCTCAGCATCAGTTCCTCCCCGGGGCCAGGAGGCCCTGCTCCCCAACAGGACGGCCTCTGGGCCCCGGACCGGCTTCCCACTCGGCTCCAGGACTCCTCTGACGCCAGCGGGCCGCCATCGGGCAGAGGATGGCGCCGGATAGGGTGACCCGGGCGGCCCGAGCCGGCAAACTTACCCCAGCCGCCATGGTGATTCCGCAGAGAAAGGGGGTGGGGCTCTCAGTGCTGCCGCAAAGTAAGCCGTCCGAGGCGGGGGGGGCGGGGGGGCGGGGGGGAGCGAGGAGCCGCAAGGAAACAGCGGCCGGAAAGCGAGGACGGCATAGAAGGCACACGCACGACAGTTCTGTCGACCGCGGCCGCGAAATTGGAAAAAGGGGCGGGGCCTGCGGGCTGCGCGGAGGAGCTCGCGCCTGCGCAGTGAGCTGCTTGGCTGGCCCGCCCTCAGGCCTGGCCAATCGGAGTCCGAGGTGGAGGAAGAGGGCGCGGAGGACGACCGGCCGGCCGGCCGCTGCCCTGGCGGCTGCGTGGCCCAGCTTCCGGCCCCGTGAGCGCGCGGGAGCTGCGGGCCCCCGCCGGCCGCGGTGTCAGAGGCCCGGGGCCCTGATGGGGGCTCCGCCAAACCCCAGCGTGCTGGCGTGGCAGGGGCGGCAACTCCGCCTGGGGGTGGCGACGTACCAGATTCCGTTAACCGCTCTGGTGTGTGGCTTTAAAATCATTGTCACTTCAGAGAGGAAGGGAAACATCGTGGAAGAGAAGAAACCCTCCGTTGCTGCCTGCTGCACGCTCCCACTGGGGACCGGCCCGCTACCCGGGCCTGGGCGCCGGCCGGCGTCCCCCAGACCGCCGCCTCCCGCTGCTCAGACGAAGCTCAGCCTCCAGCCACACGCGGCGGGGCGCGGTTTGCTGGGTGGTTTTTTGTTTAGGATAAACGTCTAATCCGAGCCCACGTCTGAAACTTGTTAAATTCGTTTTCTCCCATTCGACCGCAGCTGGGGGTGCTGTTCCTGCGGAAGAACGGCCCGAGCAGGAGGGGCCCAGGGAGAGCGGCCCTTCCCCGCCCACCTGTCCCCGAGGAGGGCAGCCATTACCATGCCCAGGTGTGAAGACCTGCGGGTGAAGGGAGGCAGGCCGGCTGCTGCTGTGCAGTACCCACCCCACCCCCCACCCCAGCACCCGGAACTCTGAGGGGGCTCCTGGCACCAAAGGGTCCTAGCAGTCCCTCCAAGTGCGGTCAACGCTGTAAGGCGGCCAGGGAAGGCCCGAGGACGCTGCGTTAAGGCTGCGGAGTGGAAGGACCGTTACCAGGTGGAAATCAGAGCAAAAGAGCGAGTATTAAACTAGCAGCTTTATTGCCCTTTGAGGAGATGGCGAAGGGCCTGAGGGAGGAAGACCTGTAAGAAATGGTGGAGCTGGGGGAACAGGCCTTGGGAGTCCTGGAGCGGGGTCACGGTGAGAGCCTGGTCAGCCTGGGAGGCAGACACCACGAAGGTCAGCAGCGGCTCAGCCTCTGGCCTCTGCTCGGCACCGCCCAGTGCTCTCAGCTCCTGGGTCACCCGAGCCTCGGTGGCCAGCCACTCCACCCCCGTGCCCGCCCTGCCCCCGGCGCCCTCGTTGGTTTGCTGCCGCAGGCACCTTCGGGCCCGCCGCCGCCCTTGCCACACCTGGTGCCCCACGGCACAGCGCCAGCTCACCGAAGAGGGCGATGCCCCCTTCCTTGTCTCAACCGGGGACCCTTCTTGGGCTGCCGGAGGACCTGCGGGGCCCTGCTCCGCCAGCACCGCGGGGCCCGGCTGCTCCTCTCCTCCAGGGGCCAGCGGCTGTGCAGGCGGCAGGGGAGGCGCCCCCGGCTGCCCCGGGCTCCGCAGGGCCCAGTCCTGCGCGGCTTCTCCCACCTCTATAATCATCTCTTCCACCCCCTCTTCGCCCCGGCCCCCTGCGCACCCCTGCTGCTGCTGCTCCCGCTCCCCCTGCTCAGAGCCTTTTCTCTGTCGGTCTAGTCTCAGTCTCTTGCGTGACGCTTCCGGGGGAGAATCCCCAGTCCCACCTCCCTCTGACCGCGGTCTCTTGCTTCCCTGTTCTAGCTGGCACCCCAAAGCTTCCCCTAACACCTGGGCCAGGGCGGCAGTGAGCTGGGGGAAGGGAGCAGGGGGTAGGGGGATGGGGGTGGCAGACAGCAGGGCGCTCGGGGAGCTGGGCTGCAGGAGGGGGAGCAGCCCCCAGTCCCGGCCCCGGGAAGAGCGGTGCTGGTACTGGAGGCTCCGGCAGTAACTGGCTGCGGCCCGGCAGCAGTTCTGTAGCCGCCCGGCCACCCTGCTGGTGACATTGGCTGCCACATTGTGGCTCAGGTCAAAGGGGTCCTGGAGGTTCATGGGGCCGAGACGCAGGCCCTCCCAGAGGGCAGAGGGCGGGCCCCCTGCCACGGGCAGCGCCCGCCCCTCCCGAAGGGACAGCAGTGAGCCACGAAGATCCCAGCAAGACACGCAGGAGAAGAACTGGGCCAGCAGGGAACCTGGAGGGGAAGACCAGGGAAAGGAGTTACTCGGAGGCCAGGACGGAGACAGGCCTTGACCAGAGCCATTCACTTAGCAGGACTTCCTTTCTCCCCTCTGAGCCCTGCAAGCAAGAGGCCAAGCTCGTGCTCCGTGCCCCTAGCAACGCCCATCCTTCCCCAGATGCTGCTTCCCTGCCCGGGGCCCCCCCCCCCCCCTTTCTTCATCGGAGAGCAGCAGTAACACTAGCTGACGCCAGGCCGCTGTGAGAGCCACGCCAGCCCACAGGAGCTGTGGGTCTATGTTACCCACTGTTGCCATTAACATCTATTAGTCCCCAAACTCACTCAGGGGCTCCTTATTGGTGCTGGGCTCCAGTCTCGAGGCATCTCTGGGGAAACTACAGTCCCAACCATCCACCGCCACCTGCTCGCCCTCACCTGGGAGAGAGAAAAGGGGAGAGTCAGCCTGAAGCTGGAAGATGTGGGTGATGGAGAGGGGTGATAAGAGCTCTCAACCCCAGCAGGTGAGATGCTGCTGGCGAGTCGGAGGGGGGCGGCCGGCTGCGTACCTGCTTTCTGGGTGAGCTGGGACACAGTGGGCAGCACCGGAGGGTCCCTGGTCTGAAGGAAATAGATGACGAGCAAGGTCAGGGCGTAGTTATTGAGAAGGGGGCCACTCCCTGGGAAACGATAATTCATGAGGTTAGAGGTGCTTCCGGCACCCTGCTGAGCGGGCTTCCTCAGCTCCTGATTCTGTATCTGCCTCCCTCCTTGGCCCCAACACCAATTGGCTGCCTCTCACCTGACAGCCCTCGACCCTGAGCCCAGCAGCGGAGAGTGTACACCAGCGGCCGCACCCGCTCGTCCAGCTCGGAGCAGAGGCTCAGGAAGCGGGAGTTGTGCAGGGCCAGCCTGGGACAGAGCAGGTGGATGTCAGGGCGCAGGCACCTCTGAAAGTGCCTCCCCGCTCTCAGTCCGGACTTGGTAAGGGAGCCAGGGACAAGCCAAGAGAGGGTTCCCAATGTCTGCCGACACACTGGCCTTGTGAGAGGCTTTGCAAGAACGTGAGTGCTACCCGCCCCATATGCCCGTGTCAGACCTGCACAGAGCAGATCAGGTAAGACTGCTCAGAACCTTCCACGTGCAGAGAAAGGAAAATAGGAGGGAGGGAGGAAAGGAAGAAAAGGGGAGGAGGAAGAGAGAAAGAGGAGGTGGGGGAAAGGGAGGGAAGGGAGAACCCTATTTGCATAGCATTTCCCAACCATGAAACTGTCTAAATCCCTTAGAATCAGCATTTCCAAACCCACATTCCATGCACATGGAAATGGCGGCCAGACAGGAGGGAGAAGCAGAAAGAAGGGGTCAGCAGGTGCAGGAGCTCCCCACACCAGGCTCCCTGCTCAGTCACCCCGAAACAGGTACCGGTTACTGAGGGAGATGTCCCCGTGGAGACCTGAGGGCCGGTGGCAGAACTTGACCACGGGGCGCCGGGCAGAGGGCACAGTCTGGACTCGGTACACCCCAGGAACACAGCCCCGAAGAATGGACCCCACCAGCTCCAGCATGGCTCCCTGGTCGGTCTTCTCCCCCTGCGGGGCCTCTGCCGGTTCCAGCGCCTTCCCCGGCTCCCCTTCTCCAGGGTCCTCCTGCAGCGGTGAGGCTGGAGGCAGGGACTGGGGAGAGGCCAGGGTCTCGGAGGCCAAAGCCGAGTCCGGAGTCCGGGGTGCCAAGGAGGAGGAAGGGGTTTCAAAGTCCAGGGCTTCCGAGCCCTGGGGAGAAGCTGGAGGCTGCGAGTCCGGAGGGGAGGCTGGGGTGCAGGCCAGGGCCTGAGGATCCAGCGGGGATGCGAGGGCCGAGTCCAAGGACGGAGACTCTGGAGCCTTGGGGGCTGGCTGTGGATGGGAACGAGCTGAGTGAATCGCTCTCCTACTGTCCCCTCACCAAGGAACATCCATCCCCAGAACATACGCTGACTTACTGCTTGCTGTGTGCCAGGCCTTACTCCAAGGACTTTATGCCTACAACTCATTTCATCTTCACAATACTCTTCTTTCCACTAAAAATAAAACATGGCCTACATACTACAGGAATGTCACTGGCAAAAAAGGCCAAGAAGCCTAAACTGGTTTGGCTCAGTGGATAGAGTGTCGGCCTGCGGACTGAAGGGTCCCAAGTTCGATTCCGGTCAAGGGCATGTACCTTGGTTGCGGGCACATCCCCTGTAGGGGGTGTGCAGGAGACAGCTGGTCGATGTCTCTCTCTCTCTCATGGATGTTTCTAACTCTCTATCCCTCTCTCTTCTCTGTGAAAAATAAAACGTATTTTAAAAAAATAAAACATAACCCCAAAATGACCTTATTATATATGATTTATATGTTTTTGGTCTTTTTCTCTCCCCCAAAATAAAGTATTATACATGCCAATTTGAAATCTGGGTTTTTTCATGTCAGTTCATTTGCATATCAATCCACATTCCCATTCCCATTTCTCAAATTACAATACCTTCCAGCAATACCTATGATTCCCTTAACAGATGAGAAACGAAGGCCTGCGAGGTAACCCACTTGCCCAGTCACACAGCCATTCCCACTGTCTACCCCTGGTCACTCACCTGGGGCTCTTCCAAGTCACCCAGATCCAGGAAGAGGTCAAGATCACAGTCATGGACGTCAAAGCTGTTAATGGACGAGCCAAAAGGATGGACCACACAGCCTGGGTGCCGAGCAGAGAATAAGGTCAGGAGACATTGGGGGGTAAAAGGTGGAAGCACATAACAGGGCATGAAGATGGGAGAGCAGCCATGTCACACGGCTAGCGGAGGGAGCCGGCAGGGAGGACACACAGGTGGCTCAGGCAGGAGGAGGGGGCTCACCCGGGAAGAACTCTGTGAAGACCTCTTGGATCAGCGCCACCACGAGGCTCCGAAGCTGCCGCTCAGCCTGGGACAACTCCCTCAACCCCACGAGCTTTACCATTTGTGCCCCCACGTCGGGGGCCTCGGCTAGGGCTGCGGCCAGCTGCTGGCTGTCCGGAGCCGCTCCTTGGGGAGATTTGGAGGCCGGTTTCTGGAACTCTTTCTGTTCCCGTGGCCGGACGCGCAGGCGCTGTCCCCCCAGGCTGTGTTGGGGCTGGGACAGAACAGCCTCCCGGGCACCTACGTCCCCCATCTCCACGATGGCAAACACTCCCTGGAAAATCACAACAGGGGCAGGGATGACGGGTCTGCAACCGAGAACCAAACACGTGGGCTGACAGTGGGCACGGGAGCGTCAGCAGGAGCACTATGAACGGGAAACATCCGGACAAACAATTCTCTCCTGCGCTGGATCCCACACGTTCCTCTCACCCCAGTCGGCCTATGGAAGTCTCACTTTACTTTTCCCAGTGACGTGATTTCACTGGTTATACTTGGACCCATCCCCTCACTTCCCTGCTGTAATTAGTCTTTAACTCCGATGAAGAATCCACACAATCAACACTCTGCTATATGTAAACATAACTACCTCTGACTAACGCACCATCTAAGAATACCAGCAATACCAGAGAAGTGTTGCTTTCACGTGGTTGAGTTCAACGATATTCACTGGGCAAGGGGATGGGGGAAACTGGGGACATGTGTCATAAAGAACCATTTAAAAAAAAAAAAATGCAGCTCTAAGCAGTGCCTAGTACGAAGTTAGCAGTTAACAATTGGCAAATAAAAGATTGACTGAGTAAGTAAACAACCAACAGGTACCCCAGTGACTAACCCCGGTGAACAGAGAAAATCCAAGCTGGGTGGTATTCACAAAGCTGAACTCATCCACGGACAAGCCGTGTTAGGAACTAGCCAAAACCGACGCCTGGTTCCTCTCACTTCTTTCCGTGTGTGGATTACCGGACTCATTATCTATCCTCAGACACATGCATTCTACCTTGTCCTTGTCCATGACGACACTGGCCACGGGTCCAAAGGCCTGGAAGTACTCAGAAAGCTGAGCAGAATCCACATCACGGGGGAAGCCACTGACAAACACACTCCGAAGCCCCTGAGCCTTTCGGGCGGCTCGGAGTTCCACTAGGTGCCGATGCTTCCGGCCTCCCAAGTGAGCGTCCAGGCTGGGTCCTGCCGAGACAGACCAACGTGAAACAAAAACATCCAAATTCGCTCTACAGTGTGCCTGTTACCTGCAGACCTAAATCCTCCCCACCCTCCCAGCCACAGGAAGTGTGAGCTTGTTATAAACAAGCTCCTGGCTTCCTCTGCCTTCCTCTTTTGTCCGTCTTTACACACTGCCTTTCAAGTGGTTCCATTTCAAGAACTGACTACAAGTACTGTATTTCTTAAACCATCTGTGCTAGGAAGAGCAACATATGCAAATTGTAAAAAACAAGACAAATGGGTAACTTATCCAAATAATATATAGAACTACTAAATATATATGACCCTAGATCCATGGTCAGCAAACTGCAGCTCATGAGCCACATGCGGCTCTTGGCCCCCTGAGTGTGGCTCTTGCACAAAATACCACGGCCTGGGCAAGTCTATTTTGAAGAAGCGGCATTAGAAGAAGTTTAAGTTTAAAAAATTTGACTCTCAAAAGAAATTTCAATCTTTGTACTGTTGACATTTGGGTCTGTTTACTAATGAGTTTGCCGACCACTGCCCTAGACTATTTCCCTGGGGTCATCTTTGAGTATGGTATTAAAATTACAAATGCAAGCCGAAACCGGTTTGGCTCAGTGGTAGAGCATAGGTCTGCGGACTGAAGGGTCCCGGGTTCAATTCCGGTCAAGGGCATGTACTTTGGTCGCGGGCATATCCCTGGTAGGTGGTGTGCAAGAGGCAGCTGATCGATGATTCTCTCTCATCGATGTTTCTAACTCTCTCTCCCTCTCTCTTCCTCTCTGTAAAAAAAATCAATAAAATATATTTTAAAAAAATAAATAAAATAAAATTACAAATGCAAGATATGAAGCCACACTGTCCAAGTTCAAATCACAGCTCAATGAAGCCGAGATCTTGGGCAACTCTCTTGTGCATCAATTTCCTCAGATATAAAATCGAAGTAATCACAGCACATTACAAGCAGGAATTGTTCACATAGCACCTGGCAGGGAGTCTGGTACATGCCGCATGAAGAGAAAGTTTAGCTGCCATTATGTTTATTACATCTTGAGTCAGCTGTCTGATGTCACCAGTGTATGGCCAGAGAAGATTGGGTTTCTGCCTGGCCCTAGTGGGACATAGCAGGAGTGTCATTCACAAAGAAGAAGAAGAAAAAAAGGGAGATCCTGCTCAGAGAATATCATGATTCTGACTTCACAGGTCAAGCCTGAGTTTTCACTGAGCGCCCTGTGCTGTCATACAAGGACCTTAGAAACCCACCTTCCGGGTCATGCTACTTCAGCATGCTACTTCAGCCTTCTTCGCCTCTGGAGGGCTTCCCTGACTCCATTCCTACCTTCTCTGCGGCCCCGCAGCTCCCCACAGATATCTACAGAGCACGGAGATGGTCTCCATCTCTAGACGGTGTGCTCCTCCTGCTTTTCCGAGTCCGCTCTCCCACCGCGGAGCCCAGCGGAACGCCAGGCACACAGCGGACGTCCAGCAGATGGCGGTTAGAGAGGGATAAATGGGAGATTTCGGATAGTGGGGAGGAGGCTGGAGGTGGGGGGCTTCCCCTCCTCTAATTCCTTGGGATGGACGGAGTGAAGACGCAGGTGGGTGACTCTACGTATCGACAAGATTGGCTAAAACTATGACCTGTAACCCTAACTTTTCCGAAGACGAAAGCCCACAACCACCCCTCCTCACCAGCCACCGCTTACGGTTGGCTGTAGTGACGTGGCAGAGGCGGCAGCGGAAAGCCCCACGCGGCAGCGACTCGACATCAGAATCCACCGCCGCCATCGCGACTACCCGGTACCGACCAAATGCAACCACTTCCGCCACCGGCGGAGCTCCCGCTTCCAAATCGCATGAGCTGGAAAGCAACTTCCGCCAGCCCAATAGGAAGTGACGTAAGGTGGTTAACCCGTGTAGGCATACTCCCCCCGGAAACCAGGTCCCTTCGATTCAGGGTTCCGTTTCCAGCAGGGGTTAAGGCTTTCTGGGCTTTAGGAAGAGCCGCCCACCCACCAGTCTCATCTGCATGCCGTAAGCCGATTGGTGTGCTGAGCTGTGCCGATGCTGATTGGCCCGAAGGTCGTGAATATTCATAAAACGGGCACAAAGCCTACGCGGGGTGAGTGACAGCTGCCATTGCCTAGCTGGTGGCCCCAGCAGACTGTGCTCCGCTACCAGGGGCAGTAGAGACCCTCGCAGCTGTCCCTCAGCCCCGGGTTTCCCTGGAGAACAAAGCCCAGGGGCAGTAGAGACCCTCGCAGCTGTCCCTCAGCCCCGGGTTTCCCTGGAGAACAAAGCCCAGGGGCAGTAGAGACCCTCGCAGCTGTCCCTCAGCCCCGGGTTTCCCTGGAGAACAAAGCGGAGGGCCAGCAGCTCCACGAAACCGGCCGCTGTCCCTGGACTCCCAACCTCAGGACTGTTGTTTCTTCCTAGCAGCCGTTCAATGATTTTCTCTCATCATTGATGTTTCTATCTCTTTCCCTCCCCCTTTCATTGAAATCAATAAAAATTTATTTTAAAGTAGCCCTAACTGGTTTGGCTCAGTGGATAGAGCATCAGCCTACGAACTGAAGGGTCCCAGGTTCAATTATTGTCAAGGCACATGCTGGGGTTGCAGGCTCAATCCCTAGTGGGAATCTTGCAGGAGGCAGCTGATTAATGATTCTCATCATTGATTTCTCTCTCTCTCTCTCTCTCTCTCTCTCTCTCTCTCTATCTATCTCTTCCTCTCTAAAATCAATAATAAATTTTTAATTAAAAAAATTTTTAGTTAAAAAAGCAGAGGCTAGCAGGAGCCTTCACAGGATCTGCGCTTCAGGAAGAAGCCTGCACAGAACTGCCTGCTGCACTGTCCTGCCACCTGAACCAGCTCTGGTGAAGGAGTTCCCTAATGACAGTGCCTTTGGGTCATGCAAACTGAAAGGATCGGAGTCCTCATTTGTCCGAGAACAGATCAATCTGAAGACTGCCTCCAGCACAGAGCTACCTAGCTGGAGAGAGGCCTGGCCCCAGGTCCCCTCACAGCCGAGTTTGGAAATTCCTGTTGTTGAATTGGCACCAACCACCATCAGTTGACAGATGCTTCTCCTACTGGGCGGCCTAGCTAACCTCGGCCTCTCAAACCTAAAAAGGCAGGAAGCACTCGAGTGGGCCCTGACACTAAGGCAGTTGCTGAGGCCGGCCTTGGGGACCCAGGAAGCAACACTCTGTAAATAGCCCAGAGCGAGGTGGTAAGTTCTTGCAGTACCCCGCCTCCCCCCCCAAAGTTGGCTACATGTCTTGCTCTGGCATCGTAACAACTCCCAGAATTCCGTAAGTAAAAGGAAAAGGAGAGTTAAGAATTAGGAAATAAGGATGCACACACATACCCATCCTATGGAGGAGTCCCATCCAGAGAACCAGCTCATCCCTGCTCTGAATAAATCTGGGTCACCATAGGAACTGGGGAGCCGTTTGGGCCTCACAGAGGGCCACCTGCTCAGGCTGCATCTCACAGTGCTGCCCCCAGGGCAAGCCCCCCGTGTTTTATTTCCCAACTAAGACACACCCCCACACACACTCATAGCAGAGAACAGCTGAGCCAGGAGGAGCTGAAGAAAACAGCTTTTTATTTGTTACTGTAAGAACCAATTACAGAATCAACGTTTAAAAAATGGACAAAAGGTCTTTATTTCTGAGAATTGGCGTACAAAAGGCGGAGGGGACCAAGGGAGGGGAGGAGAGAGTGAGCATGGGCTTGGTTTGATGCCAGCTTAGGGGCCTCAAACTATTTAGCAAAGTCCGGACACCGGACAGGAAGTGAAAGCCCCAATTAGGAAAAAGAAAAAGAATAGACATGGCAGTGCACGTCCCCGCCCCCAACCAGGTGTGTTTACTCTTCCCCTCCCGTCCCCTTTCACAAAGGGAGGCAAAATTTTTAAAAAATTAAAAAACCCTCCCCCTAAAACTGTCCAGGACAGTTGTGGGTCCTATTCCCAAGAGGCCGTGCCCCAGCAGGGGCCCAGCCTGCAGTCCGCCTTCCCTCACCAGGCAGGGGCAGCAAGGGAAGGAGCCAAGCCCTGAGGTGGTGACACCAGAGGGCGCCCACTCCCTCCAGGACACACACACCGGCTCCCTCCTTCCCTCTCTCCGTCCCTTCCTCCCTCCAACACTAAAGAGAAGGGAACCTGGGTGAACTGGGCACCCATCCTCTAGCTTCCAGCCCCCCTCCCTCCCCCAGAAGTTCAGTCCTCCAGGACAATGGGCTCATTGGTGCTGGCAGGATGTGAGGGTGCAGGCAGAGAGACTGGGGGCCTCACTGCTATCAGCGGTGGCTTCACCTTCAGGGGCAAGTTGGGCCTGCGGGCAGCTCGCCGCATCTCCAGGTGAGTCAGAGCTTTCCGAAGGGCCCTGGCCCGGAAGAGAAGAGGGGAATCCAGAAGGCGAAGACCCCCGAGTTGCAACCCCACATTCCACACTGCAATTCCTCCAGCCGTTCCTGCTGGCACCCTGGCCTGGGCCCAGTCTCCCTGTTGCTGGCCCAGCTCTACACTCCTATCTCCCACGTCACTAGCCTGGGTTGCCAACTTCTCGGCCCGCTCCCATGGCGGGCTCCTTACCTGGTATCTTTTTTTTTTTTTATAGCAAAGGTGGAAATAATTTATTGAAGATCAAGTAGTACAGACTCCCTCGTGGGGATAGGGAATGAATCTCAAAGCATCGATTCCCACGTGGGGTGGGGGGAAGAGTCCCCCTTACCTGGTGTCTTTTGTGGCCACAAACACCACAGGATTGGGGGCATCAGCGGGGTTTAGTTTCTGACGCTTGGCTGCTGGCTGGGAGCTCGAGCGAATCCCTGAAGCCAGAGGCCGTCCATTGGCAGAGAAGGGAACCCCTGCCCCTGCCATCTGAAGGAGGGGAGAGCACAATGAGGACTCTCCTCAGACCCGGTCATAAACCAAAGCCCCCCCCAGCACGGCCTACCCCGGCCTCGCTCACCGTCTCATAGGCCCGTTTCACCATGATGCCCCCCAGGGCCCGGCTCTGGGTCAGCTGGTTTCTGTTGATCGGTGTCTTGGTACCCCGAGGTGTTTTTGGTTTCAGAGGTGCCTGGGCCACTGCGAGGTAAAAAAAGAAAAGAAAAGAAAATTAAATAATGTGCATCCTTTCTTTTCTCTATGCAGGTTCCTGGGCATCCCTGAGAGCAGTGATGGGGGAGGGTCTGGCAAGCAATTACCAGTACAGCTGACCCTTAATGTGGAGATTAGGGGCACTGACCCCACACAAGTAAAAAATCCCCAGACAGCTTTTTCTTAAAATATATTTTTGTGGATTTCAGAGAGGAAGGGAGAGGGAGAAAGAGATAGAAACATCAATAAGAGAGACTCATTGATCAGCCTCCTGCACGCTCCCCCCTGGGGTTTGAGCCCACAACCTGGGCACGTGCCCTTGACCGAAATTGAACCCGAGACCCTTCAGTCCACCGGCTAGGGCACCCATATAGCTTTTGACTCCCCAAAAACTTAACCCGTATTTTAAAAGTTACACAGGAGTGTAACCTTGTCAAATCAGTGTGGTCATACCGGATAGCTCATGAGAAAGTATTATTAACCTGCAAGAGCACAGTTTGCTAAGACTAAATCTCAAGGCCTGAATGGGAAAGAAAAAAGCCGAGGGGAGAGGAGTTTCGACAGTAAAAGGACTGCGAGCCTGACACCAGCCTAACTGGTTCCCCTGCCTGTACCCACCCGTACCCAGTCTGGTTCTCGTCACATACCCAGATCCTTGACGATAGTTGCTAGGGGCAGCCGCACCAGAGGGTGAATCTTCAGTGGAGTCTTGGCGGCCTTAGGCAGTCGGATGGAGCCTGGAGAAGGTGGGAGCTTCTGAAGGGGCCGATCTATTCCGGCCTGTCCTGGGCCAGGGGCCATGTCTGCATCTTAAACCCCTGCGCCTACCCACCCCGCTGTCACGGCACACCCAGACACACTAGCCCTGGCCAGGCAACCCCTAACCACCACCAGCCCAGCACTCCTGCTTACACTCTGCCTTGATGGCATTGGCATTGATGGGGGCATAGGGGCGCCGAGCAGCCCTCCTCGGCTGTAACAGGTCCCTGCACATGCGTCTGGCAAGACGGGTCAGCTTCGTGGTCTGGAGCAGGAATGTTTGCCTGTTCTTGGCCAGCAGCTTGGCCCGGTTGGCGCTGGTCGTATAGGGGGAGAGACTTTGGGCTTCGGGTCTGGACAAATGACTCCTCGAGTGTGGCTCCTGGGAGAACACAGGGAAACAGATGGACACCGGGGCTCCTTTCTTCCTTCCTCTGAAAGGGCTACTCAGTCCTGCCCTCCTGGCTCCTACACCACTCTGCCCTGCCCTCCCCTGCACATCAGCCACCCCATCTATAGAGCTGGCTGTTCTGGCCTTCACCTAAGTCCACATCAATATGCCACTCTCCTCCCCTCCTGCTCCATCAGTCCTTACTGTTGTGGCCCGAGCAGCGCCCTCCAGCTGGGTGGGGGTCTTCAGTCCCCCATACTTCTTCCAGTAGATCCAGCAGGAAGCACAGAGGCGGCACTGCATGTTGGGGGGCCCCCAGGCGTACCACTGAGCAGACTGTGTGGCTGAAAGAGCAGAGGAGGTGGAGGTCGGGTGGGGGAGGGGCACGCCACCCGAGCCCTCAGGCTCTTGGGTGGGGCAGACCCTCCCCACCCCCAGCCTCCCGGACCCTCCTGGGAACTCACTGTGGCAGCTCTCGCAAGTCAGGCCCTTCTGGAATCCTGCGCCATTCATGCCAGGCTTTGAGCCCACGGAGATGATCTGGTTAGGATTTGGTTTGGTGCTAACGAGCAGGAGTGGGGAGAAGAGGAAAGAATTCAAGGAAAATAATGTCTTCACCTCGTCTCTATAATAACGTGGCCCTGCCTCCTGCCCACCCTCATCCCTGAGGGCGGGAAGGGGGGGGAGCCCCACCCGCCTCACTCACTAGGTGGGGATGTAGACCTGTTTCAGTTTGCTGTCTGCTTCCGCAGCCTTCAGTCTCTTCTGCAGGAAGGGAGGACAGAGAAGGGTCAGAGAAAGGTCAGATTCTCAGCAGGAGGCCTCCGCCCTCCTCCGGCCCAGGCCGTACCTGCTGAATGTAGCGGTCTGTGGTTTTCCACATGTAATAGAACTGGACTATGCTGGCCAGCGACTTCCAGGGCAGCTAAGGAGGGCAGACGGAAAACGGGTGAGCTCCCATCTGGCCCCAGGTCCTGGTGCCCTCACCTGCTGTCTTCCGCCTCTGAGCCCACCCCGCCTCACTTACAAAGTCCTGGCGAATGTCATTGAAGTCCTTGCCGTACTTCTCCAGGGCCTCCTCAAACAGCATGGCCTCGGAGGCAGACCACTCCTCCATCTCATCCCGGCACAGCACGGGGCCCCCCTGGGGCACCAGCGTGGACATGGCCTTGGCCAGGTCGTAGCCGTTCCTCTGCAGTGTGTCCATCGCGTGGAACTACGGGCAGGCAGGAAACCATGCTGATGACTAAGACCCTCAGCATGCTCTCCTGCTGCTTTCAACAACCCACTCACTCAGAGACACCCCCTCCTGTCCCGGGCTCCCAGTCCCCCCCACCACCACCGGCGCCTGCTCACCAGGGTGATATCGCGAGAGGCAGCAGCAGCACTCATGTGCAGGCTTGGCTGCCGGATGGAGCTGCTACAATCCAGGGCTCTCGCGAAGGTGCCCACCGCACTGAGAGAGAAATGGAGGCGTCAGGAGAAAAGCAAGCAGGAGTGGCTGCGGAGCTGAACCGGGGAGAAAAGAACAGCCCCCCGTGCCCAAAGGAGAACAATGTCCGACGCAGAACACCGCCCGTCTCTTCCCCACTCCCACCCTCACCGGCCCCCTCACCGGGCCACCACGAGGAACTGGTCAATCTGCCGGTCCGTCAGGGGGTTGTCTGGGTCCCAGACCTTCATCTCCATCTTCTGCTGGTTCCGGTTATCGGACTCCCCTGAGGAAAGGGCACGGCGTCAGCAGGGAGAGAAGGCAGGGGCGGTGGAACCCCAGCAGGGGGTGAAGGCTGGGTGCTGACGGGTTCCATCAGGCACCTCGACCCTCAGACGTCTCTTCCCACTGTGCCCGCCCCTTCCAGCTCCAAGGCTGCATTCCGTCAGGGTCGCAGCCCAGAGCAGGCAGACCTGCCCGGCACACGGCTCAGAACCTGACGGCAGCGAAGCCGGCAGCCACACGCCTGTCCTTTGCTCACCCTCGGCCAGGCGGTCTGGGATCTCAGCTTGGTATTTGCACCCAACACGGATCTCCCCCTGGTCGGCGAGCAGCGTCTTCTGCACAGGGTCGAACACCAGGGAGTAGAAGAAGCAGTCCTGGGGGGGAGGGGGGGAGCGGGCAGCAATCCTCAGGGCAGGGCCCGTGTCCGCAGAGTCTCCAAAGCACGTGGCCTGGAGCCCGCGCCTCCTCACAGTCCTCTTTCCTCCTGCCTCTTGGGGAAATGCCAGCCCCCCCACCCAACACCTCTTTCTCACCTCCTTTTCCAGATACTGGCTCAAGATATCTGTCTCATTCAGGAGGGTCACGCTGCACTTCCCACTAAAGAGAGAGGGCAGAAGACTGGGTGAGCACCTTATCCCAGCGTCCCTGCACCCCACCCTCCTCTCCGTCCCCTAAAGCAGTGCTGCTGGCAGGCCTGCTGTCCCGTACCGGATGTGGGTGGCTGGCAAGGACTCAAACTGCCGAGAAAGAAAAAGCTCCCGGTGCTTCAGCTGATGTCGCTGCTGCTCCGACACCCCTGGCTGCTTTGACTCCTCTTCAAACTCCCCTGGGAGAGGAAGGAGGAAGGCACTGAGTCAGAACCCACCCAGAAAGAAGCAGCCTAGCCCCGGGGCGCCGGGTCCTGTCTCGGAGGGTTTCCTGGCACTCCCAGGCCTCTGCCTTCCACACCCTCACCGGCCGCTCTCCCCAGCTCCCCATCACTGAGGCTCGTAGGGAAGAGCTGCTGGGGACAAAAGCGCCACCGAAGTACATCGCACACCAGGTGCCAGGCCAGCAAGAATGTCTTGTCTCTTTCTCACTAACCCGGCCTGAGGTCCAGAAACTGTGAGATGAAAAAGCATCACCTCAGGTTACTTCTCACTTCCCCTTTTCCGATTTCTTAAACACCACCCAGTCCTCACACCCCTCACTGCCCACGTGGGTAAGCTTTCGGGGCTTTTAAGGGCAGTACCTCTCAACCCAGTGCCAACATCCCCCCCCCCCCAGGGAGCTGCCACTGGCCTGAAACCTTGGTGAAAAGGGTTAAGCTGGCTGGGTGCCAGCCCGTGGGCGGGGCAGAAGAGCCAGGGGCCCAGATGCAGTGGTGCATTGTTCCCAACCACAGGGAGAAGGTGGGGGGTGCAGCAGGCTCCACCCCTCGCCTGTGAGCTCCGGAAACCCTGTGCTAAGGGAAGGGGGACCACACCCCCCTACACCCCTTCTGATTGGACAAGGCCAAGGTCAGCCCCTGCCAGATGGAGCTGGAAACCCCAGAAGGCCAGAGACCTTGTTAGGCCCAGCTCCTCTGTAACCCCTTCATGCCCAAAGCAGCCTGAAATATGGAAAATAATTTAGGAAGGAGGAACAGGAAACAGGGGAAAGAAAGCCAAAGCAGGAAAGAAAAGAAATAAAGAAAACTGGGAGAGTTCATGTTTTTTGAAAGACGAAAGCATAAAGAGAAGGATCTGGAGGGAAAGGAAACGGTGTGAAAGGGAGCGAAGGGGGACACAGGAGATGAGAGAGAGGAAAAGTGCAGGAGAACTTCCTTTGCCTCTTACACTGTCCCTTCCATGTACTCTCACCACCTCGTGCTCCCCTATTGTGCAGGCTTCCACGGGCCATCTCCTCTTCCTCACCTTGACCTTGGTCACCGGCCTTTGACCCAACAGAGCCAAACTGCCCGGAAGAGTCCTGCTTCTCCAAAGCTCCCCCACACACACACCCCTGTACACACGATCACCTCAAAACAAGAACGTTAGTAGACACTGCCATCCCTCTCACTCACACCTCCGCAGGCACACTCCCACACAGGCCGCGGCCTGGCCCTCCTTACCGTGGTCCCGCCATCCTGCTTCCAACCCCGACGTGTAAAGACAGGCCTCCCTCCCAGACCAGGCACCTCCCACCCCCAAACGCACTCCCTGCCTTGGGCATGCTACTAGGAGAGACACCTGCAAGGGCATGCCCAGGCCTCAGGCCGTGGGGGGCGGGGGGCGGGGGGCAGGGAGGGGGCGCCGAGGCACTCACTGGCATTGCTATCAGCCAGGCTGTTGAGGCTGCTGGAGATGTCCCTCCGCCGGAAGAGGCACACCACCTTGGCCTCCACGTTTCCATTCGCAGTCTGAGAGGGGAAGGGGAAGCGGTCGGTGAAAAGCAGAAAGGCACCGCGAACAACTGTCAGTACGTTCCTAAGGGAGGCGGCACACGCTCCGACATTATAAATACGGGCACATGTTTGCGGACAGACCTCCCAGCCCCTTTCCTCCGCCCCCAGGAGAGGGTCAAGTCCATTTCCCACGGGGCTCTCAACGGCCTTTCCCCGACACACAAACGAATGAATGAATATGAATGGGTCCTGGGGACAGGCCCGCCGCCTCTCCTCCCCGCGGTTAGAGACCTCCGCGGGCAGAGGCCCCGCTGGGGGGCGGCGGGGGCCGCTCTGCTCACCTTGTTGAGCTCTTCAATCCGCCTCACCAGGTAGGGATTGCTGGAGGAGTTCTCAAAATAGACGTAATCTGCGGGCGGGGGAGGGCAGAGCCGGGAGATCAGAGGAGGAGCACGGGGATGGGGGGGGGGAGTGGGGGGAAGGTAAGACCGGCCTGGGGGAGGGGCAGGAGGTAAGGGACCCTGGAAAGTGGAAGTGGGGAGTCTAAGAGAAAATAGCGGATGGCCCCCACCACCACCCCGACCACCTAGTTCCAGATCTTTCACTCAAAAGTGAGCCTTAAGTTAGGAAGGAGCAGAGGGCGGCCTGGAGTCCCAACTCAGCGCTGGGGCTGCCCCCCAGGCTCCAGCTCAGGGCAAAGCGACCGCCCCGGCCGGCTTGTCAGCTCCCGCGGGACCCCGTCCCCCCCGAGCCGGCTCCCCGACGGGGGCCCCTTCGCGGCCGGGCTGCCCCAGCCTCGGGGAGCCTCCGGGAACCTCGGGTCCCGCAGCCTAGCCGACCCGCTCCCCGCACCCCGCTCCCCGCTCCCCGCTCCGGTTCCGGGCCGCGCTCCGGACCACGCCGCCCGGGCCGAGCCTCTCGGGTCCCGACTCCCACCACTCCCGCCCGGGGCCCCGCAGCCCCTGCCCGGTACTCACCCCCCACCCGGTACATGTTGGCCGCCATGGCCGTTCCCGCCGCCGCCTCCGGCCGCACAAAGGGCCCGGGAGGCTCGGGGCTGGGGCTCGGCCCGAGGCGAAGGCCGGGCACGGAGCGGGCGCCGCGCGGAAGTCTCGGTCGGGCACGCGCAGCCGGCACCGCCGCCGCCTCAGCCGTCGCAGCTCATCTCCGCCCGCCGCGCAGCGCCGCCGCCGCCGCCGCCGCTCCCGCCGGCCGCCGAGGCCGCGCTGCCGCTCGGCTTCTTCCGGAACGGCCTCGGCCGCGGCGGCTCGGAGCCGGCTCGGGCCCGTCCTCGCGGAGCCGCTCCAGACGTTGGGCCCGCGGCCTCAGGCTTCGCCTCCTTCCCGAGCGCCTTCGGCCGACGGGAGAACAAGGCGGGCGCTCGGCTAGGGTCGCGGAGTGAGACCCCGGCGCTCGGCCACTTCCGGAAGCCGCTCGGCTGTCTCCGGCCGCCGCGGCCCGCGCTCGGCTATTTCCGCCGAGGCCCCGCCCCGCCCCCGGGGGCGGCCCCGGCTTAACCCTGGCCACGCCCGCCGCCCCGCCCGCCCGCCGCCGGGCGCAGCGCGGGGTTATTTGCGAGCGGCTCTGCCTGCCGTTTGCACGAGCGGCCCGCGCGCGCTCCCCGTGCTCCCCGTCCCCACCCCCTCCCCGCCCGGCGGCGCCCAGCCGAGCCCCACAAAGGCACTGGGAGGCGGCTTTGCTTTCGGTTTATTGCCCCCCCGCAGGCGGCGGGAACCGGGGCCCAGGCTGGGGCGGCCCGGCACAGCCTGCGGGTCTGTACAGTGTGTGCTGGGGTGCCGGTCACCCCCTCCCGGGGAATGCGCGATTGGGAATGTCTCCAAGTCGAGGAAGAGGTCGGCCCCTGGTCCTGGGGCGGAGCTGGGCGGCAGGGCCCGTGCGGGTCCCTTTCCGCAGCGGTCAGACGTCCAGAGACGAGGCCGGGGACAGAGACGGGGTTCGAGAGGGCGTGGCGGGGGGCGCCGGCCCCGAGCCCCCGGCGCCCAGCACGCGCCACTGGAAGATGCTGGCGTCCTTGCCGCCCAGCGAGATGAGGTGCGAGTCGTTGTGGGTGAAGCGGACGCTGGTCACGTGGCTGCCGTGGCCGCCGTACACGAGGCTGGGCGCCTGCGGGGGAGGCGGGGGAGTTGCGGCTGCTGCGGCGCGGCGGGCCGCCCTCCCCCGGGCCCGGCCTCACCTTGGCCCGCGCGCACGGGTACTGGAAGAGGTGCACCTTGCAGAAGTCGTCCGCCACGGCCACGACGCGCTCGTTGTGGGAGCGGCACAGGGAGTTGATGTCCGTGCCGTCCGAGCCATCTGGCCACACGCCTGTCGTCGGCACAGCGGCTGCTCAGCTCAGCTCAGCCCAGCCCGGCCTCCTCCCCTCCTGCCTCCGCCCACAGCCCGGAGCCTCACGCTGGGCTCCGGGTGCTGCTCCGGCCGCCCACCCGCCACGTTCCCGGCAATCCTTCCCTCCCGGGGAGCGCAGCACCTCCGGGCCGGGCCTGCTGGCCGCTGGACACCCGCCCCTGGACGCCGCCCAGCAGGCCCGGGCCGGCAGGCCCCGCAGCCCTGTGTGCGCCCCGCTCACCGTACACGTGGAAGCCCAGCACGCAGGTGTAGGTGGCCCACTCCCGGTCTCGGTTGTCATAACGATTCCTCTCCAGCTTGCAGCCTGCAGCCACGTTCCCTGGGGAGAGGGCGCCCACCCAGCTCAGCCCTCACCCGGCCCGCGGTGGGGAAGAGGCGGGAGGGCCCGACGGGAAAGGCTGACGGAGGCTGTGGGCCGTGGCCTGTGATCTGTCACCGCAGCAGCCCTCAGCCGGGAGCAGAACCCAGCTCCCCCTCCCCTCGCCCCCCTGCTTCCTGCGCTGGCAGGCCTCTCCCCAGATGCACAGCCCCCACACCTGCCCTCCGCAGCTTTTCCCAAACAGTCTTTTCTTATGTTTTCAACTCCTTGTGGGAAAAAGAGGGTATAAAACTGTGGGTGGTTTTTTCCCAAATCAATTGCTCCTATGTGTATAATTCCGACTCCAACCCCATCTCCCTGTCCCCATGTGACAGCCCCTCCTCCCCGAGCTCCCCACATATCCTTCCTGCTTTCGAACCAGGAGCCCACACACACACACACACACACACACACACACACACACGGCGCACCCCATGGCCCTCTCCCCATGCCCACCCTGTGGCCACTCACAGTAGAGGATCTCATAGTCCCCAGAGTTGGACATGATGAACTTCCCGTCCTTGGACCAGTCGAGGTGAGTGATAAAGCTGGAGTGACCCTGGAGCAAGGGTCAAGAGACTAAAAATGGAGGCCCCAGTCCCATCCCCTAACCCCCCCCTTAGTGCACTGGGCCGGTTGAGGGGTTTCCCTGCCATGGCAATGCCCCACCCGCCACCCCAGCTTTCTTACCACACAGCGGCCAACGCGGCTGGACTTGGCACCGTCACTGGAAACACTATAGATGTAGATCATGTTGTCATGGGAACCAATGGCCAGGTGCAACCCATCTACAAAGACAGTCACTCAGAGAGGGCGGGGCCAGGGCCAGGGCTGGGGCCGGGGAGGGCGGGGAGGGGAGGGCTCCCACCTGGGCTGTACCGAACCACCGAGAGCTGCTCGTTGCCGTCGGTGACGTCGGACACGATCTCTCTGGTCTCCGTATCCAGAACCAGCCACCTAGAGGGAGGGGTCGGAGGCAGGTGTGAGGTCACCCATCCTGGGCAGCACGCTGACGAGCTGGAGAGACTCCAGGACACCCAGAGAAAAGCTACGAGGCAGACAGAAAGGCCCACTGCGTTCTTGTTTTCCCTTTTTCTTTTTTATCCTCACCACTGGTGTTCAGAGAAGGGAAGGGAAGAGGAGGAGGGGGTAAACATCGATGTGAGAGAGACACATCGATCGGTTGCCTTCTGAAGGCACCAAAACTAGACGGGGCCAGGGATCAAACCTGCAACCCAAGTACATGCCCTTGACTGGGAATCGAACCCGTGACTCTCAGGTGCACGGGCGATGCTCTAACCGTTGAGCCACCACGCCAGCCAGGGCCCCACTGCATTCTGACACTGGGCAATGGGAAGGGGCCATGGGCGGGTAAGAGCTAAGGAACTTCTGATGCTGTCGCCAGAGCAAGGAAAAGGGCTGGACTACAAGAGCCTCGGCGAGTCTGTAGGCCTATCACTCCCCTCTGCGCCCCCATCTCCACAGCTCCCCTCTGGGAGCTGCCACCTCCTCCATGCCAGGCTGCGGGGAAAGTGGGGGGGGGGGGCACGATGGCAGCTGCCCCTGGAGACAGAAGCCCAAGCTGCAGGGAGAAGCGCTGAGGACCAGGAAGGTGCAGTCGGGGTTTGGAGCTGCCAGTGATCACGCTGCTTCATGCACATGCACACGCACACACACACGCACACGCCGTCACCAGGAACCCTTCCTATCCCCCTGCTTCCCGGGCTCCCGCTCACCTCCCCGTGTTCAGTCCCACGGCCACCACCGCCCCGCTGGGGTGGAAGTCAGCACAGAGCCCCGTCTCCTGGGGGGAGAAAGGGGGATGGAAGAAGACGCCTTTCTAGCAGCGAGGGATCCCATCCAAGACGCCTGGTCACCCCCAGGAGGGCGTGGCTCCGTGCAGGCAGCGTGTGCGCAGGCAGAGCCTGGCGGGCGATACTCAGAACCCTGAGCCCCCAGGCCTGAGAGCCGGGTGGGAGAGGAACCGACCTTCGCTGGGTGGGCAGGGGAAGAGGTGGGGGCGGGGGGAGGGGGGTACTGGAGGCAGCAGCACAGAAGGAACATTTAGTGGCCATTCCAGCACACACCGGCTGCCTCCAGGGAGCAGGAGGACGGGGTGCTGAGGAAGGCGTGGGGCCTCGGGAGTCATGGTGGGGGCGTCGCTGAGGACCAGCTCTACCTTGAGGTCGATGCTCCAGGCCAGCGCGTGGGCCTCCCCATCCCACAGGCAGAGCTGGCGGTCGTGGCCGCAGGTGAGGAAGCGGTTCTGGAAGGGGTGTGTGCACAGCCCCCAGAGCTCGTCCGTGTGGCCCTGCAGAGGAGCATGGCCGTCACCCCTGCCCTCCTAGCAGCCCCGCCCTCCCTCCCCCACAGCCCTCGGCCCCCCACCTGGATCACGGGGGAGAAGCCCTGGGCCAGGTCTCCCCGCAGCAGCGCGTTCTTGGTGGTCCCCACCAGCAGCTCGGAGCCCGGCCCCTCGGCGATGGCCCGCACGGCCCCGAAGTGCTCAGGGATCTGCCGTGGGGGCAGAGAGTCAGGGGGCACAGCCACTCCTCCCTCCTCCCTCCCTCCCTCCAGCCCAGCCCTCACCTCAGCCTCCTGGAGGGCCACCAAACCGGGCCCCCACTGCACCAGCCGCCGGTCCCGCCCGCCACCGCTCAGCACCGTCCCGTCCCGCCGCAGACACAGGGCGAAGATGGAGCCTTCATGAGCGTGGGCCTGGGCCACGATCCCATAGGTCTCTGTGGGCAGAGTCCGGGGTGGCTCAGGCTCTTGGGGTGCAGGGCAGTGGGGAAGGGAGCAGTAACTCCCAGCTGCCTGATGCCTCCTGGTTACCGTCTCTGCCCCGTTTACAGACTGGACCACTGAGACTCAAAGAGCTGAAGCCCCTTCCTAAGGCCAGACCATTTGTGGCAACACTGGGATTTGAACCCAGGACCTGGCAGGCCCCAAAGCCCCAGCCCTCTACCTTTCTAGACCGTCCCCCAGAGAACTATCAACTCACAAGGTAAAAAAAATAAAATAAAATAAAGTGTGGGTGGAGGGAGGGCCAACCCTCTCCGGTTCCCATAAGCCCTCCAGGGGCTACACTTCCCAGAAGCCACCCCTCCACATACCTTTGGCTCCGCCCCGGCCTGGAGTCTTGGCGTCTGAGAGGCTCCGCCCCCAGGTGAGAATGTTGCCCTCCGAGTCCCCAGTGAGGATGTCTCCCTCCGGGAGGAACACGAAGCAGGGGATAAACTTGGGTTTCTTGTATTTCTAGGGGTGATGAGAGGTCAAA